AGGAAACAGGGGCTGGAAAACAGCTGGCAAGCAGCAGTCAAATGTCAATGGTGGGGCAAGAAAGTGACTATCAGAGGTAGCAAGTGCAAGGGCATACATGCTGCCCCGTGGGCAATGTTCAGGGCTGCTGGCAGGCCAGGAGAAGCCTCTGGTGATGGTCTCAATGATGGTGAGACCACCTCTCCCCCTCCCAGCCCTGACATCTGGAGAAACACCTCTAAAGCAGAGGGTGCTAATTTCCTCTCCTTTATCTGCCAGCCTGCAATGCAAAGTGAACTGTAGCTAAACAAACTAAATTAAAGCCAAGTGGGTTAATATCAACCTAGGATTACCCTTGTTATCATGTAGACGGAACAGTATCAAATAAACCAGCAACTCTTTATAAGCTTTATCTAATTATCCATGAGACAGCTGCCCTGTGGAGCTCCTGGCCTCAGACTTGGAGGGCATTCCCAGCTCCAGGGCAAACAATTTATTTACTGATATTGCAGCCAAATGCCAAGCACCCACTAGGGGGTCCAAGCCATGCCAGGCTGACGGGATATTGAGATGAGCTCTGATCCTGGATGTAGCACTGGAGGAGATGGCTGGGCAGGCAGGAAGTCCTTTGGCAAGCAAAGGTGTGATGATGAGGCAGTGCTGGTCTTCTGGTAAGAGCTGGATAAGAGGGAGAGCCTTCCCAAAGAGTTACTCTTTCTGTGGGATGCTGGTTGTGATGGGGATGGGTTTATAGCTCAGCTGGCACAGACTGGGGGAGGTGAACCCTAGGGGGATGGTTGCTGTGCATTCCATAGGAGGATGTGTCCATGTTCGTGTGACAGCCTGCCACAAGATGGGTGTGGGAACACAGGACTCCATGAAGCACACTGGCAGGACAGGCTGGGACTACCAGCAGGCACAAAGCAATGTTTTCTCTTTCTGGAACTACCACCAGCCACAAGGCATTGTTTCCTCTTTGCACAGGAAACTGGAACCTACTTCATACTCACAGACTCCACTTCCTTCTCCTCCCTTTTCTCATTTCCCAGTGAGAAACTGCAGACATCTTGCTCCATACTATACTCATACAGAGGAGACAGATCTTCAGGGAAGCTAACAGCAGGTCTGAGGCTAGAGATGTTGGTTGTTCAGGTCCATATTGACCTGCTACAGTGGGTGGTTAAAGGTCAGATGGACCTTAAAACTGCATTGGCTTGGGCTTGCCCCACCTTGTCTGCAGGCCAAATCTTGAACAAGTCAGTGGGAGCAGTGATGGATGATAGCTGCTGAAGTGTGTGTTTTCAGAGATATCAGGTTAGGTGGCCAGCCATGCCTTTGTAGGCTGGGCTTTGGACTGGTGGCAGCTTGAACCGTATGACAACAGCACAGATGGGTTTGAGGGTTGGAGTTATTTTTGTCAACACTGGGGCAGGAGGCAGGGTGGGTTTCCAGGGAAATCAGGATCTGTACAAGGTTTGTAATAAATACCACTGCACTGAGTCTGAACTGGAGACACTGAGATGGCTGGAAGGGGAAGTGTGCTCCAGTGGTTGGTCTCCTGCATTGGTAGTCATTTGGGATATCTCCCGTTAGGATTTATTTGGCTTTTGGACAAACTTTATCTTCTTTTCCCTTCTAGACCAAGCAGTCCTCAGCATCTTACCTGAGGAAGAGTGAGTCCCTTGAAGGGCTGTTAAAGCAAGCTGCCTTGCAGCCTCCTCGGAAGCTGAACAGACCAAACTCCCACTGCTTTGGGGGTTGAGACTCGCTTCTGTGCTTACGCTCTTGCCACATCCATTTGTACACTGGCCATATCTGACCTTGCAGGAGGAGGCACAGAGGAGCACTTTGGAGAGCTCTGAAGGACTTCTGTGCTCCCCAGAACCAGGATGCTGTGTCCTAGGAGCTGAGTTGTGGGTTCTCTGCTTTGCAGGAGGGAATTCAGGCTGGGAATACGATATTTCTTCACCTCTGTCCAAACAGCCTCCAGCTCCAGGAAGCACAGAACTCCCAGATTATTGGATGCTGGGATGTGGATACACCCTTTTCCCTTCTCTTTCCCTTGAGCCTCTTCTTA